AAATTCTAACATTTTCCAGAAGAGTGACTATCGCACACGGTATAAGGATAAGTTTGAAATTCTGAAATTCTAACATTTTCCACAAAAGTGACTATCGCACACTGCATAACGATAAGTCCGAAAGTCAGAAATTCTAACATTTCCTAGAAGAGTGACTATCGCACACGGTATAACGATAAGTTTGAAAGTCTGAAATTCTAACATTTTGTACAAGAGTGACTATCGCACACGATAGAACGATAAGTTTGAAAGTCTGAAATTCTAACATTTTGTACAAGAGTGACTATCGCACACGATAGAACGATAAGTTTGAAATTCTGAAATTCTAACATTTTGTACAAGAGTGACTATCGCACACGATAGAACGATAAGTCTGAAAGTCTGAAATCCTAACATTTTCCACAATAGTGACTATCGCACACTGCATAACGATAAGTCCGAAAGTCAGAAATTCTAACATTTTGTACAAGAGTGACTATCGCACACGATAGAACGATAAGTCTGAAAGTCTGAAATTCTAACATTTTCTAGAAGAGTGACTATCGCACACGATAGAACGATAAGTTTGAATTTCTGAAATTCTGACATTTTGTACAAGCGTAATCTCGCGGGAGAAATCTCGCTCGTAATCTCGCGCAATCTCGCTGTCTCTTCATTATGCAATAATTAAGCAAGCGTATGTATGTTGACACATTTCGGTAAATTCGCTGGCTTCTAAGTTCATACAAACAAAAGAGTTGCGAAAGCTCGTGACATGACAATGCAGGCGCAATCAAATTTTAACTCAATTTTATTCGTTGATGATTAAATGAATAATTGAATACGTTCTGCAAGACATGAGTGAATCTGAGTACACAACTCAGAAAAATAAAAAAACGCGAGTGAGTAATGAATATCCAACGCGCAAATTTTTTTTTTGCATGAGTGAGTTTTGAATATCATTAAAGCTCATACTCAATGGGTATTCAGGTGAATATTGTATTCATGAATCTAACACACTGCAAGTGAGACGGCCAAGTCAGTGCAGAGTCCGTTTCATAGCGGGCTGGTTTTTGTGTTGTCATTTCATGTTTTGTGTTTTGGGTTGCATGCATTAAAATACAAATGCCCATGTTTGACCTACGTGGTGTACTGCGAGGCGGGTGACAGTCCCTGATTGCAGCTATCGTATGTAGTGTTCCGACTGGGTTTGTTAGGAGCATTAGATTTACGCGATTTTTACGCAGTGTTTAATTAATAGCTTTTGTTATAATAATGCTATTATTCATAATAAAATAATAGAATTGTGTCACACATTTCATCATAACTTAGTACGACAATAGTTTATAAATTCAATGAACATTGCACACGTATTTTCTGTGAGTATCATGCTGCACTCACTTGTCTATAAAGACAAATGATGCAAGTTTTATTTATTTTATTCACAACTACTTTACTGAACAAAACTCATTCGAGTCGCTATATTCTAGACTAGATTAAATCAGTTACAAGAAATCATAATGGACCAGGAAACGTTGAAAAGTATATTCGATGACTTGCGTAAAGCTATCACTGAAGACACTGACATAGACAACATTGAAGAGCATATCGGGAAAATCATGGTTACATTCTGGGATAGAGGATACTCGGCTGCGCAAGTTGATGCGCAAACTACACTTTTCATGGAACTAGGTGGTCACAAGTTATTACTTGATCTATATACAAGTAATAATAAGCGAATGGAAGATGCTGCAACCGTCATTCTCAATTATGCACTCAGCCTACCACACATTGACGATCTTGTTAAGTTTTACGCCACGAACGAAACGTGTGTGGATGTTTTTGCGAAATTGTTGGGACCGGCTGGTGGTCGATATCTCGAATATATCTGGAGAGACACACCAACGCAGAGAGTGACATGTAACAACCTTGGATTTCTGTCAAGAACGTTCGAATCAAGAAAATTGATGATACCTAAAATCATTCCGGTTCTCCAATCGAACATATTATCCATTGAGGATCACCCAAGCAATTTCACCGCGTACATGGCTATCGCACTGCTTCTTGGAAGTAGCGATCGTCCGGAAGATTTAGCTATAATTTCCAAGAGGGAAGTCATCGACGACATTGTGTACGCTTTCATAAACGAACAAAGTCGAGTTGCAGCTGATAGTTGGCCACTAAAAATGATGACACCACCATTACGAAGTCTGGCTATCAACGAGAAGAACAGAAAGATTCTAGCAGAATGTGGTATAGTGAAACCATTGGTTGAAAAACTTGGAGGTAGCCAAGTTAAGGAACATTTTAAGACAATGGAAAACACTGTCGGGTTGCTCGTCAATTTGGCTTTTGATCGAGAAATTGCAGAAGAATTAAAATCTGCCGGGGCGATTGACAAGCTAAAAGCCCTGCAGAAAAGTGAGATGTGCATCGGTGAGGCAAAAAAGGTAGTCGAAGAAGCATTGTGGATTTTAGAGGATGAACAGAAGAAAAGAGCAGCAATCAATTCAAGCAGAAGCTCAGCAAAAGAACAAAAACACATTATGCTTTCTTATTGTTGGGCACAACAACCAATCGTGTTGAAAATTAGAGACTTTTTGAGAAGCAAAGGATACAAAGTCTGGATTGATGTTGAACAAATGGCCGGTAGCACACTTTCAGCGATGGCTGAGGCTGTGGAGAATGCAGAGGTAGTTTTGATTGGCATGTCACAAAGATACAAAGAATCAGAAAACTGCACGGTCGAAGGCAATTACGTCTTCGGACAAAAAACTAAGTTCATTCCGTTAATGTTAGAAGAACAGTACAATGCGACTGGTTGGCTCGGTGCGATGGTTGGTAGTAGACTCTGGTACGATTTTAGCAAGGAGGAAAAATTCACAAAATCTGCAAGACAGCTTCACGATGGGCTACTGAAAGCCATGGATCAACCGAGGCAACCAGAACAACATAGTACTGGGCCAATTACAGTTTCGGTCGATGCGGAAGCGGCAACTCGAAAAGATGTCGGAAAATTACATGCAACCACCGTAATTCCCGCGGCCTCAAAATGGGACAAGATCAAGGTGGGTGAGTGGTTAGATCAAAATTCACTTGGAGAATGCAAAAATGAGTTCTTGACTCATGAAATGAACGGTGTAGCACTGCAGGGCCTTTGCGAACTTGGCGATGAAACGTACGTTAAATTGGCAAAAGAACTCGGATTGAAGAAAATTGGTCACATTTTGAGTCTGCGAGTTTGTCTCAAGAACTTATTCAATAACCAGTAAACTTAATACAGCATATATTGCGAATGTAGATGTAGACGAACAGTATCAAGCTGCGGTACTTCAGCTTTAAACATAACTTCTTGACCAGAAACCTGGCTTTCAACTAACGTCATTCGATAGAGAATTAAATTCTACATAGAAAATAAATGGATTTGAAACATAACATTTGAAGTAAAATTCGGAAATGAACGGGTCAAACATTAACTGAAGCTTTTATTTATAATTATTAAACAAGCCCTAAGAATGGTAGTGAAAAAAAAGTTCTTTTTGTGCGTCGTACTATGTCCACTATACAAATAAAGAACCGAGGAGTTCATAGCTCAAAAACTTTTTTTGATAAAATTATAATTTTTTTGGTATCTTTTTTACGCGAATCATCCATATATAACAGATTAGCACAAACTCAAATACAGTTTTAAATTCCTTCTAAAACATTTCAGGTTAGGTGCTGAAGCAACAGACGATGGTAAATTATTGCAGTCAGAAGAAGTAGAATAGAAAAACGAATACTGAGTATTAGTTAAAGTAGTAAACGGTACAGTGATACGCAAACGATTCATATTTGCATTTTCTCAGACCTCCTAATATTAGCAGGTGGTTGGATATATCTCCGAAAAGTTCAGTTCAGGATTTGCAAGCATTGACAGAAGATGTCATTGAGGTTACGTGGGAAGATGCTAAACCTAGTTCCCATCCAATATCAGATCTAAATGTTACAACAACTAGTGAAATGACGCGTTTATTTGATTCTATCACATAGTCTAAAGGAGCTAGTATTTTACGTATGCTAGAAAACATCGTGGGACAAAATGATTTTCGTGATGGGTTAAGAACATATTTGAGGCAAAACGCATTTGACGTTGGAAATCCAGACGATTTTTATAACGATTTTACATTTCCATACCCTTTAACTGGCAAAGAATTTGTGAAAAATTGGTTAGGAGAACCAAATTTTCCATTGCTAAATGTACATATGACATTAACCGATAATCGAATAGTATTAAATTTTACTCAAAGCGCTTTTTAGCATTCAATGCGTCAAATTCTTCAAACTTAAATCAAAATTACACATGGATAATATATGTTGAATGTCTTTTAGGTAACAGCTACACTTAAGAGATACAATTATTCATGTCTCTTTTTTGTTACAAATAGTTGTCTCGCTTTCTGCCATGAGCAAATGACTTACGTGGGAACATCCCCAACTGATAAACCCTGATTTAGTTTAGACCTGGCTATTCGTTCAGGCTATGATTACGAATATGACTGCCGTTTGTGCCCATAGACCTTCCATGGCCTCTTTCTAGAAAAGCGTTTTGCTAGAAATCCTCCAAACCATAGTAATGTTTTTTCAATATGTTGGGATTGTAGTCAAATGAGAAGCCTCTCAGCTCTACACGTCCTTTCTTTGCAAAGTTACAGAATTTACAAGAAGAGCCCTAAATTCTTTTTCCGTTTTCTGTCTGTAGCTTTTAGTAGGGGTGTTAATTTAGTGTTATTTTAGAAAATAAATATAAATAAATGAAAAAAAATTATCCTTATTTTATAAAAGTAAATGAATCATTTATATTTATTTCTACTTTCTATAATCTTAACATGTTGAAAAAACATTGCATTGGTTTTGGAAGATTTCCAGAAAAACGGTTCCCTAGAAACAGGCCATCGAAGGCCTATGGGCACAAACGGCTATCATATTCGTAATCAGCGCCCTCGATTACATATGAGTAGCCAGGTTTGAATACAATCAGGGTTTATCAGTTGGGGCTTTTCCTTCGTTAGTTAAGTTATTATGTGAGTTAAATATATTTCTGATGGTCCTCTTGCTTCTTAGGTGGTAATGATGCTGATAACAATCATACAGCTGATGTTGAATCGCTTACCGAATTCTATTTGGATTCACCACAGATTTTCTTAATTATAAAAGATAAACATTTTACTTGGATTAAGTGTAATCGAAATTTCACCGCATTTTATGTGACAAGTTATAGTTATGCAAAAAAACGATACCATGACCCATTCATCGTCCAATTTAATGTGGGAACATTTTGAACGTGTATTATTGGATGCATCAGCGGTGAGTGCAAACTAACTTTTTGATCATCTCTTTTTAAAAATACTTGACACTCGAATGATGTATAATTAATTAATTTTCAGTATGCCCAGAATATACCCTCAGAAGTATACCCTCAGCATATTTTCAAAGCAATGGTTCTATTAACCTTAAAGTAGGTGTTTGGTGTTATTATTCTGCTCTTTCTGGCCAATTGATTCTTTCTACGCTTCATTAAGTATCGGTGCCGAGTTTCTTTCAACAATTTATACGTGTCACATCTAAAATACAAATAATCACAACGATTGTGAAACATTATATAAATATTCTCAGTATGCCGTATCACCACAAGAACAACTACGAGCATTAGAAGCAATCAGCAGTTCAAAAGATATTGATACATTACAACGGCAAGCAATAAGTGACGCTATTTACTAGTCTTATTTGTGTTATTTTTCCAGATTGTTGGAAGAAAGCATAAATAATTCAAGCATAATCAAAGTACAAGATTTCTACAGCATGTTTTCCTATATTACACGAAATCCCATTGAACGATCAATTATATGGAACTTTTATCGTGATAATTGTGAAAAACTTGTTGACAGGTAAAGCAAGGCGAGTGTGAGATTCAGAACAATATACACACACTTGGGATATTTAGATTTGGTATCGAAAGTCATCGATTAGGTACAGTAATCTTGGAGATTGCAAAATCGTTTGATAATGATACTTACATTAAGGAAGTAATCAGATCTCCTTATATAATATTTCTTGTCTTTGTATGTGTTTTATTTATCTAGATGGAAGAGTTCTTTGTCAAATACCCGAATGGCACAGCAGGCAAAACTGCTCGAAAGCAGTCACTGGATTTGGCCTTGATGAATAGTGAATGGATCAAAACCAGGGAAAAAATTTTATCAGTTATTTAGAAAAGTATAACTCAAACAGTTAACAATATAAATCTAAAGTAAAATCACTGTTCTAATCATTTTTGATTCACGTTGTGCTTTAATGTTAATGTTTTTCCAACATACTTTGAATACTTTTCTTTTTGTCGTGTATTTCTAAGTAAGAAACGCGAAGCAGATATTCTGTACCGCGTGGATATATATTGTATAAAAAAACTACGTTTAACATTAAAGATGTCAGCATTTAACATTGATCCACATTGGAGTTGTGTATCTTATTAATTACCTTGAATGATCTCGAAATGATATTATGTGATTCCTTGTGATACTGGATTTGTTGGCGATGGTAATTACATCGCTGTCTACAAATTAAATCTAAGCCAATTGACCATGGTGCTGGAGACCTTAAATAAAATGAAGTGACGATCAACAGTTGAGCATATTTTTTGTTTTTGTACTTTCTCCGCAACAAAAGACTTTCTGCCAAAGTTCCTTTGAAATCTCTGCTTTAGAAAAAGATTTTGAAAATGGCTTTCATTGTGAAAAAGTGCAGTTGGGTTGTGGCTTTCAACTAGTGAATTTTACAGTGCACTGCAAAATCGGAAATTACTTATAGAAAATGCCTGGCGATTTTCAAAAAGTCCATATATAAATTCCTCAGGAATTTTCTACATTCTAGAAAATCGAATTTCCAAGAATCTGGATAGACGGGCGACGATAAGACCACAAATCGGCCCACTACCAAATCCATCATCTAGTAACTCATCTGATGCAGTTTTCTTGCCCATTAAACCTACCATATTCTTAGACCATCAAAATCCTTTTCAACGCCTCTGGAAGCATTTTAGCCAAAAAAAACTTCTTGCTCTAAATGAAATTATCCAAAGCAATGCCATTAGCAAATCTCTTTCCCCTACAGGAAATATCAACTAGTATACATCATTCGATAGACAATTTTACGGGGTACAAAATGATATCTGAAATACCCTTAAGCAGCTGTGTCCGAGTAGTCCAAGGTTGGAAATACTCGTTAGCATATCAGCAAACGGACGGGCCAAGGTCATTTATGTTAAAAATACTCCTTTATTCGGTCGTCAACCAGTTCACTTCATACACCATTCGATAGAGAATTTCACGGGCCACAAAACAGTATATAACATTCTCACAACAAATTGAAATACTAGGTAGCATATCAGCAAACCGGAGGATCAAGGTCATTCCTGTCAAAAAAGCTCCTTTTATTCGGTTGTTAACCAGTCTACTTTATATGCCATCCGATGGAGAATTTCACGGGCTACAAAATGATATATGAGACAGCCTTAAGAAGTTCTTTCGAGGTAAGTCCAAGATTGGAAACCGGCTCCTTTACTCGGTCGTTAACCAGTCTACTTCATATACCATACGATAGAGAGTTCACGGGCTACAAAGTGGGATATAAGACAGTCTTAGGAAGTTGTATCCGGGTAAGTCCAAGATTGGAAATACTCGGTACCGTATCAGCAAACCGGCGGGTCAAGGTCATTCATGTCAAGAAAACTTGTTTATTCGACCGTTAACCGGTCTAATTCATATGTCATTCGATAGAGAATTTCACGGGCAAGAAAATGGTATATGAGATAGTCTTAAGAAGTTGTGTCCGGGTAAGTCCAAGGTTGGAAATACTCAGTACCGTATCAGCAAACCGGAGGGTCCAGGTCATTCATGTCAAAAAAGCTCCTTTATTCGGTCGTTAACCGGTCTACTTCATATACCATTCGATGGAGAATTTCACGGGCTACAAAATGATATGTGAGAGAGCCTTAAGAAGTTCTCTCGGGGTAAGTCCAAGATTAGAACTACTCGGTAGCATATCAGCAATATTCATTGGGTTTTCAATGATTTCGAAAAAAATTGAATTTCTCAGCAACGAAACAAAATTTTCCAAAAAAACTACTTAACTTTTTATACCATGGATATGATGAATATAATCCAGTGAAAAGATCCATTATACCTTCTAACCATAGAGCCATGATGTGGTTGCGAGAAGCCTAGGAGCATTTTTTTGGATCCTGCTCATATCGGACGTACTTATCGACCATTTTAAATTTTACGAGTGTCAAATCAAATTTTTTATTTTCAATTTTGAATGAAGATCCGAATAAAACGATTTGAGAACATCGAAACGAGCAGAAAGAGCGAAAATTTAGCTTGTTTTTTGAAAAATTACGATTTTTCTAGCGAATTTCAAAATTTCTCTGGTAAAATATTTATTTAACAGCTAAAAACAGTATTTTTTCTACGTAACTCGGTTCAATCATGCAACATGAAAACAAAAATAAACTCTGCTAAGCTTTTGAATTCCCGACATCTTACAACAATCGAAATGTACAAAAATCGTAAAAATTAGACTATCTTCAAGAAAAACTCAGAATTTTATTTAACACCGTTCCTCGTGTTACAGGTTAGGTCTTCCACATATAAGATGAAGTAGTCATCTTTTTATCTTTCTCTTGGTCATATATTATTTCTTTGTCAAATCACTTTTATTCTATCACTTCATTACGTAGTTTCACATTCTTCTCTCATTTCTATTATTGTTACATATATATAATTATGCAGAAAGAGATAAGAGAAGGAGGAAAAATGAAGAATATTTCATTTTTGAAAGAAATAGAAACGATTCGAAGAGTCATGTTAGAGCTTCACAATCGGAGAGTCCTAATATCACCTCATGGAGATATTCGTATTCTAATCTGACGAAATATTTTCCCGGTAAAATACGTTAAACCTATAAAGCCATAAAGCTTTGAAAGCTTAAAGTTTTAAATAAAAGAATGAAAAACTCTATGATGAACTCTATGAAAAATTACGATTTTTCTAGCGAATTTCAAAATTTCTCCAGTAAAATATTAACTTAAATTTCAGTCTGCATATGCTTGCATATGAACGTACATGTGCCGACATGTGCGTAGTTATATTCGCGTATCTGAGATCTTTTCATCTGTGAAGAAACATCGA